TGGCTCAGTGGATAGAGCATCAGCCTGCGGACTGAAGGGTCCCAGGTTCTATTCCAGTCAGGGGCATGTACCTTGGTTGCGGGCACATCCCCAGTAGGGGGTGTGCAGGAGGCAGCTGATCGGTGTTTCTCTCTCATCGATGTTACTAACTCTCTATCCCTCTCCCTTCCTCTCTGTAAAAAGTCAATAAAATATATATTAAAAAAATAAAAATAAAATAAAATAAATAAAGGCTGGGATATGGAAGAATGTGAGGTTAAGACGCCAGCAATGTTTTGGGCTTCATTCTATCAATTGTAAATAAGATGTAAAGCCACACCCCCTGCCTCAGAGTGAGGGGCAGCAAGCAGGGCTCGAAGGTGGTGGTCCATGCCCCAGGTCCTCAAAGCCCACCTTCTCCCGCCTGCCAGGTCTCCTGTCAGCCAGTTGGCTGGCTGTCCTGCACACTTAAGGAAAGCAGAGCGGGAGGCCTTATTTTTGCTCTCCTGCCCCGTCAATTTCCCTCCCTTATAATGCCTAAAGGGTGTTTTGAGGGTGGGAGGAAAATCCAAAGGTTTCCCAGTTGGCCATTTTGTCATAAGAGGCTTTGTTCTTGGCATTGGTCCTGGCAAATGGGATCAAAGTAGAAGGGTCAGACACGCTCCCAAAGTCCACCCAGCCAGTCTCCAGCCCAGGCTGTCAGTGCTCCAAGCCTCCTGAATTCTCAAACTCACTCTGTGCTCATTTGCTTACCTCCCAGGAACCATTTCACCACTGGGTGATCCCTCTCCTTCTTCAAGATCCCACATGAGATGAGAAGTGCGGGGAAAGAGGCATTTGGGATGACTTCCTAATTCCCGTGGGAATTGGGGGAGATTTAGGTTTGGATGTGTTGGGATTGTGGTAAAGGTGACCCCTTCCTCTCTGAGCTTCCCAGGCACCTAGAACTGAATCCATGCAGTATGGGTAAAGGATTATTTAATCCTCAGCTGTGATAAATAAATAAGCTTGAAAAATAATTTCCTCCTAATTCAAAACGTGTGAACATAACCATACATGAACTTGCTAGACAATTATTTTTTCTTTTAGGTACAAAAATGATTATTTATTTAGAATGAGAAATAAAACCACAAGGAATCACAAATGTTAAGAAAGCTGATAGTATGACAAAATTCAAAAGACAGAAATAATAACTCATGGAACTCATTAATGTTTAAACTTGATCCTGACACATAACTGTCTCTGCTCTTTATAATTAAACATCAACCCATAATCCTAAAATTATTTTCCCTTTAACTTGTTCTCTTCACATATAGCTAATTATAAAACATTCAGGCGTGCATCAATGCCTGGAGAGATATATGTAAATTCTATAGATAACTCTCCATGGTATTCAGCTCCCTGGACACGAGGACTGTGTTGTTCCTCTTCTCCCTATCCAGATGCTTGTGCCTAAAATCTGGTAGAGCTGGCTATCAGGAATAAGGGAGATAAGTGTTATCAGTATGGTCCATGAACTTTTATTGATATGTGATACAATATGTACATAAGCTAACAGGAGCTTTAGAAATGTTTACAGCATTTTGACATTACTGTCACATCCAAAGGTAGCAATACAAATAAACTGGCCCATGGCCAATTGAGAGAAAAAAATAAAATTGATCCATCTCAGAAAGTTTGTGAAGCACCAGGCCAGTGTGGCTCAGTGGTTGAGCATCGACCCATGAACCAGGACATGGTTTGATTCCTGGTCAGGGAACATGCCCAGGTAGGTTTCTGGCTTAATCCCCAGTGGGGGGGATTTAGGAGGCATCCAACCAATGATTCTCTCACATCATTGATGTTTCTATCTCTCTCCCTCTATCTCTCTCTGAAATCAATAAAACCATATTAGGACCCCTTGGCAATGGGCAAGGAGACACCTGACTGGTGGTGTTGCTCTTATGTCAATCAAGGACAAAGCAGATGTATAGTCCTTAGTTCATCCTAGCTTGATGCCTGTGTTGGTGGCCAGAGCTGTTTCATGCCCTAAGCACATTGAAACAAATAAATAAATGCTCCGTCCACAATTTAAAAAAACATAGTGGGGAAAAATAAAAGTTTGTGAAGCATTGTGAGGACTGAGTATTCTAAAATTCTCATAAATATAGAAACTAACTCATGCTTTGAAGTTCACGTGATCTGAGATTAATCCTTAGTAAATAAAAGTCAGCCTAACTTACTTGATTTAAGTAAAACAGACATGTCTTTTTTTAAATCTGGGTTTTACAGAAATAAGTTCATGTTAATAACTGACTTTGATGTCTATGAAATATTTCTAGAGGTTAAGTGATTTTTTTAAAAAAAGAATAGTGGAGGCTATGGGAAACCCAAGAGTGTGACTTGGTTCTTCCCTGCTCCCCGACTTCCCACTTTTCGGGCTTTGCATTCCTCCAGACATCATAGTGCACTTTGATGAAGGAACGTAGGAGTTAACATCTTACACAATGGCCAGTGTTTGATAAATAAAAGTCACTTCAAGCAAATGCCAAGTTTTTAACTGCTTGCTTTCACAGCAAGCTCCCAGGAGACAAAGACTTGAGATATTGTTCTTTAGAAAGGACATAAAATAAAAGAAACTCTCCAACCTCATTGATAGGGACCTTATCAGGCGCCTAACCATGGACATCTACCCCTGTCTCTGATATCACCTCTGCCTATAGGGGACGTCAAAGACTCCTCCAGAATGAGAAGCTGCTGACATCAGAGGTAGGCAGCTGTCCCAAGACATCGACAAAGCCTGTATAACTATGGATTGGCATTGAACTCAGAATTTGTTATCTGATTGTCTTTACCTGTTTGCTAATGTTATTCATACAAATACCTATACTTGTCCTTTGGATTTTTCTATCTAGTTCCACTGCTTATGATTACTGAACATATGTAAAATAACTGTTAATATTCTTTTCATGGCTTATGTAAATGTTATACTAGATGCCAAACACAGAAAAATGAGACAGAAGGCAAACCTTGGGTCATAATGGTTCAGAGAACAGCAATAATCTAGAGTGCTTTTTTTCACAACGAAGGCCATAAGACCTGACTGCTTTCCATTGACCTGCCTTTCCCTTTTTGGGAAAATTCCACTCCAACTCGTATACCATGGTTATGGTATTGCCCCGTCCACAGTGGTCAAGACAGTGTAGATACTGAGACTTCCTAGGAACAAGCCTTCCTAGCTCTGGGAGACTGACCACACTATCAGAACAAAAGTTTGGTCATCAATGCATCCTTCAGATTGATATGTGACCAAAAGGGGAAATTGTAAACGAAAAAGGACTTCTATGGAAAGTAACCTCACAGGGTGATGTGATCCTAAATTCCTAACTGGGAAGGTCATGGTGAATAGTCACACCACAGGTATATAACTTCTTTTTAAATATGTTTTTGTTGATTTTAGCGAGAGAAGGAGAGAGAGAAACATTGATGTAAGAAACATCAGGCTGCCTCTTGCACACCCCCACCAGGGATGGAGCCCACAACCTGGGCATGTGCCCCAAATTGAACCAGGGCCCTTTGGTGCATGGGACTACACTCAACCAACTGAGCCACACCAGCCAGGGCTATAACTTCTTTAGTAAAAGGCTTATCTTTGCCTTAAGTAAGCCCTGGCCATTCTTTCTATGCATCTAGGTTAACACACCTTTGACATACACTTTCAGACCCCCTTCTTCTAATATATATCCACCCCTTTCGGACCTCTCCTAAAGCAGACCACCCTCAAGAGAGCACAAAATCTCATTTCTTGTTCCCTGGCATATGTTTTTTGGATGTTTCTTACACCAACACCTTCAACAAGCAGCTCAAGCAGCATCCATCTCTGGGACCTCCTTCCTGGGCCAAGGGCCCTTCCCCGTGAGGCTTTACTCTCTCTGACCTCCATCAAAGCCCTCACACTGTTTTATTGCTACTGCATCTGTCTATCCCCTAGAGCAGACAGATGGTTAGGGGCAGTGTCCTCCTCCTCTCTGCGCACCCAGCTGAGTAATCTGCTGAGTCTCTCCAATCTCCATCCTGGTGAAGCATGTTCTCTTTGAGGGGGAAGGATGTGTTAGGGAGCGAAAGGGATGGCTGGCACCCGTCCCACTTACCCACTCCATCCTAAGCCCATCTGAGATGGACTTTGTCAAGGCAGCCCTGGCACACTCCCAAAGCTGACTTTGCAGCTCCCCAAACTCCTAAACTTTGGCCTCAGGAGCCAGGGAGCAGAGGCAGGGTCTGGGTGGAGGAGAAATGTACATAATGTTTTTAAAGGGACAGGGGGCAGGGTCAGAAAGGGAAAAGGCTGGAAAGTGAGCCAGATGTGGACTAAGGGAGGTAAGGAAGAAAGGAGCTTTATAGACTTTGAAGACCCAGGAGTCTGGCAGAGGCACAGGGAACGCCAGGAGTCCTGGGGATGAAGCTTGTGCTGGAAGGAAAGCGGGGAGGAGCTGAGTACCTAGTTAAGTGCCGGGCACTCTCCTGATCATAATAATCCTGCAAAGGAGGTTTTATCAGCTCCAAGCAAGAGGGATTAAATACGAGCTCTACAGCTTTTAAATGTCCCCCTGCCCCCCCCCGCCCCTTTCTGCCCTGCCCTGTCTGCCCAGAGAAATTTAGGGCACGTCCTAAGTCAGGCAGCCTCCCGGTATCCCTGCTGAGAAGCGCAATGACAGAGGTGTACTAGCAATCATCTCGCAACCTTCCCGGGCTCCAGCCACGTGCCGGCCTCGGGCTCCGTTCCGGGAGGCGCGCGCCACGAACCCGGCCCTTCGCATCACATGCCAACCGCCTCCCTCCCCCTCCCCTCCCCCTCCCCCCAACATGG